AAATGTTCGATGTGATCCAAAATTTGCAAATTTAAACGGACTTTCAGATCTTTGTGCAAAACTTGTGGAAACAAAAAAATGCAACACTTTTGATATAGTTTATAAGCTTATGAAGTTGGCTTTAGTCTTGCCAGTAGCAACTGCGAGCGTGGAACGTGTTTTTTCAGCTATGAAGTTTGTGAAGAGTCAGCTATATAACAAAATGGGGGATCAATGGTTAAATGATCGTCTTGTAACTTTTATAGAAAGAGATTTTCTTGGAACAATTAACAATGATGTTATTTTAGCTCATTTTCAAGAAATTGATACTATACGGTTTTCATTGTAAATACACTTCATCAAACAATATTATTTTTTATTTTCAATATATTTTAGTCGATAATTTCTTTTATGTTTAGCCACACCAATATATAAAGTCTGGATCCGCCCCTGGTCGGGATTGCTCTTGTAGACTTCTATTCAAAATTGGTAGCTTGAAGTTATTTACGTATTAGTGAGTTCATATCGTATTATTCTTAAAAAATTGAATCAAATGTGAAAATTATTGAAATAATATAGCAAGTGCGAGTAAGTGGGGAAATAATCTCACATTGAATAAGAATGTGGAGACTTAAATATATATAAGTGGAAGAACTCACTCACCTATCACCTTAAAATTTTAGATAGATAAGTGATGTGTCTCTCACAAATGTGTCTAGTCTTACACTATGTATCAATGTAGCAGTTAAGGGTGTTATAGGAAGATGTTATATATTTAACCCTAAAATTTTTAACTCCTAAAATGCTCTTTTACATTTCTTTGACCATTGAAAAGATTTATAACTTCGTTAATGTTGAAAATATATAAATACATTTCTCTCCCGAACATGATAGAACCATGCATAACACATCACCTCTTCCTATTATCAGTTGAACCTCTTTTAATAAAGTCAGGCTTATCATGTCGATAATTGCCTACCATTTATCGAAATTTGCTTCGATTCCCCTTCTAGTTATCATGAATCCTAATATTTTGCTGGCATGTGCACCAGAAGAGCATTTGTTAGGGTACAGACACCTTGGATCTTCTCACATATACTATAGTTTCACTCATGTTATCACCATGCTTCCATTCATTCAAAGTCTTAATCACCATGTCGTCAATATAGACTTACAAATTTTGACTGATTTATTCAGGGAAGATAGTGTCCTTCAGTATTTAATAAGTATCTCTTACATTCTTTATGGTGAATGACATTACCTAGTAGTAGAAATTGTTTTAGTTGGTTATTAACACCGTTTTAGTGCATTGTGGGGGTTTAACCCTATTTGATTATAAATCGAGTAAGCATACATAATATTGAGAACATGGAAACTCGAGGCTCCATCAATCAGTCAATTGATGCTCAAAAATGGGTATGTATCTTTGGGACTTGCTTGATTAAGGTCAGTGAAGTCTACACATATTCACTATTTTCCTGATGTTTTCTTCACCATCACCATGTTAGCCAAACAAGTTGGGTATTTTATTTCTTGTATAAATCTAACCTCTATCAACTTTTTTGCATCCTTTGAAGAGGCTACTCTCTTATCCATCATTCTTTGTATTTCCTCTAGACAATTGTTTTGAATCGGGCTTGATTGCTAGATGGTGGCACACCATGCCAGGGTCTATTATGGGCGTATCGAATGGTGCCCATGCGAATAAATTAACATTATTCTAAAGAAGTTGGACAATGTAACTCTCCCCCTCCTTTTTTAATGAGGTCCCTAAATGGGTAGTCAGGTGATTCTTGGGACCTACTTGCATCTTCTTCAATTCCTCCAGTGGTGTTATCCTATCTTACAAGAAATAAATCATAGAGTCCAAATCCACATAGTTAATCCTATGGGAGTTGGACAATATGGTAACCTCTTTCCCTCCTTTTATTTCCAGCTTTAAACTTCCCATATAACATCTTTTATCCACCACTTAGTCACCTCTAGCTACACCTACCATCTTCTTGTCCATGTGGTAATTGTTAAGTAAATAATTGAAAGGAGGGCCTCAAGGGCGTTGAGAGCTGACCTGCGTATGATGATGTTATACGAGGAAAAAGCATTCACCACCATATATATTAGTTTATGCCCTTGGTGTTTCCTCCCCTCCCGAACATTTTCAAGATTGTGATGTATCCACATACTGGCTCGTGTTCTCTAAAAAAACCTACTAATGTTGCCTTAAAAGTTGAATAAGCTTGAGATCTAGCTTCAAAACCTTGAACGCGTCCCAGTAGACAACATCAATTGAGCTACCCATATATACCAGGGCCCTCTTAAAGTTCAAGTGGATACATCATATGGTCATATTTGTGAGGTATGACTTCATCCACATCTTTGGTGGAGAATCTAATCTCTAGTGAGAAAGCTACTATTTTAATGGGAAACACGATGTCGATGTGCATGACTTAGCAAGCATATCTCTTTCTGGATGAACTAAGCTCTTCTTCTGCGAAGTATCCATCGATCTTGCTCAATGTATGGCGTGCTTGATCAGGGTCATGGCTTTCTTCTTGACTCCAGTCTCTTTTAGGTTAGATTGCTCTCTAACGGTCAACTATAGGCGAAAAGGATATCATTTCCAAACTTTGGGGATTACCTAAAACACACCTCTGGAGGCGACCCTCCTAGATGATATCTCTCTCTCTCTCTCTGGGCGATGACAATCATTAGTATGATGACCTTATACCATATGATACTTGCACCATTTACCTGAACTGCTTCCCATTACACCTCATTTGGGGGGGGGGGGGGGGGGGGAGGGTTCCGAAATGGACCTTGTTTGATAAACTTCACAAAGAATCTACTCCCACATTGTATTTAGTCGTGTGAACTATTCCAAAGGTCTCTTGGTGGGCTTGAATGTGACCTTCTCTCGAACGGGTATTGTGTTATGGTTTCTCTGTTGGTCGGACACCTCAGATTTCCTGCCAGCCACTCATTTTCATCTCAAGTCCTATTTTCTTCATTGTTTTCTTCTCTTTTAACATAATATTTAACTCACAATTATTTGTTCCATTAAAGCTATCAACTTCTAGGCCAGAGAATTGTTGAAATGTCCGACTTTGAGGTTGTTCTGGAATTCCCCGACGAATATAAAATCATAGTTTGGGTTGACGACCTTGATGGTATCTTAATTAAAACTGGCAAAAAATTACCATAAGAATTATGAATAGCCTTCACAAACATTGAACAAGTTCGTCATGTAAATCTTTATATGCTTGATGGTTGAGAAATAGTGAATCATCTTTATCGTCAGATCTCAATAGCTTTACAGCGAGAACCTTGGGATACTCATATACCATTAGACGACATGATCCTTCAAAGTTCCAACCATGAATTTTCATTTTAGTGAGTCAGTTGCCCTCATGATAGTGATCTCCGTGTTAATGGAGATTATGTGTTTATGGGGGTAGATCTTGTCATAAAATGCTACAAAGGACAGTGGTCTGAAATCATCAGAAACTAGGGCGTCCCAAATTTCAGTATAAAGTGGTTGAAGATCCATTAACTCCTCTTGCTTAACTATAAACAATTGTGGTTGTTATTGTTGTTGCAGGTCACAAACGTTATCATTTAACATCTCATTCTAGCGACACAATTCCTCTATAGCGACTAGCATATCCGCTATGAAAGCTCGATCATAGCTGTTACTAGTGACAACCCTTACTATCTTGAGAATGGATCAAACTGCCGTTGGAAGTGATTTGTATGGCCCGAATGAGTTTTATCGGGTACCACGCTAGACGCCAAATATATTAGAGAATTGCACGAGTGTAACTTTACTAGTGAGGGCCAACAAAGTCCTAGTCAAATTCTCTCTGAAATTGTCTATATCTTCTCCTTCATTGGTCATATGCTTACATATTAACCCTTATATTCTTCGCACGTAAAACCCATTAAGGACCATTAAGTCGATTGTTCTTGATTATATGTGACCTCTTAATGGTGATTGGAATCAAACTTTATCACAAGATCTTGTACCATAATATTATCAATTATCTACGTATTATAAGTCTCCATTTATTCGAATGTTTCCTCCATGTTAGTTTTGGACAAACATGATCCAGCAGCTGACCCTACTCTATTGGGCGACCTATAATTTGGGGTAAGTTCTTTTTCCTCCATCCTACAACTCTATCCACTTTTGAGGTGTGTGCTTCTTTCTAAATTATCAAATACCTGATTCAAGATTCAAAATAGGCTGAACATGTACATATACTCCCAAACATAAATCGCGTAGAAATGAAATATTTTTCTAAGGATTAAAGTTATTCTAACATCTTAAAAGGTGTTCCACACCATATTTAAATAGGGTTGTGGTTGATTACAATATCTTTTTCTTTTTAAAGAATAAATTTTTAAATAAAAAAGACTTATTGAATAAGTACTTTGGTATAGTATGCATACAGTATCCCAATTTTTTTTAATGTTCATATATCAGTCCTCTTTTCTAAGAGTTAGATATATACATTAATACTATCTATGTTTCTTAATATAAAAAAAAATTAATTTTTAAATTTATTAAAGAATTAATAAATCTTAAAAGTAAATTTTTTTCTTATTTTAAAAACCAGAGGAAGTAATTATTTTCAAACTTATTCTTGCATTTCACTTATGTGTAACTGTTCATTATAAATTTACATGATTACATCCAAGATTTTTTAAAGTCGCGTGAGAGTTCCATTTAGTCCACACAACTCACGTGCAGTTCAAAATCTTACCTCTTAACTCTTAAGGCATCACCCTCCACCAATCATATACCCATGGGTTATTCAACTTCAAGGGTAGGTTGATTTATAATATTAAAAAAAAACCACGTTTTTCTTTCTCTTCCTTTTCCATTACATTCACTTATATATAAATACACCTATCAACCTTCCCCTTCAATTCATCCTTTCTATCTCAATCTCTCCCTTCTCTCTCTCCCTCTCTTTCCATAAAAAATCTCTCTTAAAAAAAAATCAATACCACTATACAAAATGGAAAATAACCTACCAATAATAACAAAGAGAGTATGGAACATGATACGTGTGGCCTTGTTCATGTTAAGAAAAGGCGTATCAAAGGGAAAACTAATGATGGACCTAAACATGATGCTCAAACGCCGCAGCAAACTCGCCGGAAAAGCCATCACCAACCTCATCTTCCCTCACCACCACGGAAGCTCCACTTCAAGGGACTACGAATTCAGCTGCAGCAACACACCAAACTACAAGTTTGTCCTCAACAACAAGCGTCACCGCAACAACCATTTCTTCGCGTGTGCTCACGCTCCTCTCACGCAAGAGGACGACATGGTGACCGTTAATGCAGTTAAGACTATATTGGAGAATATGGTTAATAATCATGAGGTTATGGTCGAGTCTTCCCCGGCGCTCCCCGGGTTCGGGCGGACACCTAAGGCGAGACAGTTGAGGGTAACTGACTCGCCTTTTCCGGTGGATGACACCGATACGGTTGCCGAGGTTGACAAGGCTGCCGATGCTTTTATAAAGAGGTTCTACTTGCAGTTGAGGAAGCAGGATTGAGTCTTGCTTTCGTAATTTTGTCTATTAACATTTAGTAAATGTTAATTATCATTTTTGAACTTCAAACTACGTAATCAATTTTGGATAATTTTATGTACTTCTTTGTGGTAGTAGGAGAGGATGCATGTTAATTATGTTGAGGAACAATAAAAAAATGTTACGAAAAGTTTAATTAACTTGATCTCTGTCTTTCTATCATGCTTATCCATTTATTTTTTCGTGACCAAGTTATTTGTTGACATCTTTATATAAATGAATATGTGAGTTGAAAATAATAGTACTCTTTAAAACATGAAAAACTGAAAATAAAATAGATGAACTTGTTTAATTAAGATTGTAAAATTGAAAGTATTTAAAGTCTAAGTTGTTTTACGGTTTTGAACAAATTGTCACTTATGAAATTATACATCAGATAAAGTCACCAACTATATCGCTCTCTTGAAAAAAAAAAAAAAAGAGAAAAAGGAAAAAAGAAATGGAGTAGAAAATATAGGAACTGACCAATTAGGGAAGTATTGGTTAGCAAGGAAAATATGGGAACGTGGATGGCAAGGCGATTCTTCATCAATAATTAGGATTACTTGTTAATGAACAACACATTAATTAAATTAATTAATATTAGTTATTTTTTTATCATTTTAGATATAAAAAATAGTAATTATGTATCACTCAAACTTAGGCTCAAATCTAGTCCGATCTGAGTCGGCTAGATAGACAACAGATGCAAACGCATGTGTGATGGTTTATGGTGAGACGTCTTCGTCCTTTCACAAAATTGTATTTCCTTTAGGGCACATTCCAAGAGGCTAACCTAGCATATATAAATACTACTAAGTGTGACATCCTTCCAATTTGAGATTATAAGAAATTTTTTCTAACTCACCTCTTCATTCACTAGCTCATACTTGTGCTTACTTCTTTTCAACTTTAAACTAACAAGTGTAATAACCGGAAAAAAAATATAGAGTCGTCACCATTAATTTTTTTTCTTCTTAAAATGAGAATATAACGGAATAACCCTAAAGTCGATACAAAGATTTTAAATTCTTGACTCACTTTAGACGAAGGGAAGGTGTTAGGCCCCCTTCATCTACCTTGTTCACAAAGATACTAAGATTTAGGTTAAATGTTTAAGAATATGGTTTTAGTTTTTTAATTAGGGGACTCGCCACCGTTTTAAAGCCATATGCCTTCATATCCTTTTATGAGGAATCAGAGTCTCAATTCGTAGTTCGAAGTGTTTGTTGGTGTTTTAATAGGATTGCGTATAATTGATTTCGAATTATCCTTGAACCTTGTCTGGATTGTAAGTTGAGTGATCGTAGACGCAGTTTGCTGTTAATTTTGAAAGTAATTCTCCTTAATCCTTTTATGAAATGCTCTTGAGGTTTTGATTATGTTAGTGGAAAAATGGTTTGATTGTTGGTTAGTTGTTTTAAATTTCGATTTGATTAAAGAATATGGTAAGTCACAGAGCGGGGAGAGTCTGATAAAGTCTCCTCATCATGTGGTCAAGTATTGACCACGTGTCGCTCATCGGTAAATTGCATGGTTTTTAATATCTTTTTAAAATATTGAATTAATCAATTTAATTATAAAAAGTGTTTGTACAAGATTAGCAGTATTATTTACAAGTGATGTGTGAGATTACTTGGAAAAACTAAATTATGTATAAAATATTATTTTTCTTAAATAACCTAATTGAAATTGATTTTTTCACTTTTGTATTATTTAAACATTTAGAAACACATAACTTAATTAACTAATAATTAATTTTTTTAATATTTTTATTTTTATATAATTTAAATAACCTACCTTAAAAAGCTACCTAGTTAAAATCCTAATGAAATTAGTCTATCGTAAAAAAATTAATTATTTAAGAGAACAGTCTAAAAGAAAGAAGAAAAGTATTTGTATTTTTAATTACTAAAAATAAAACTAACAAAATAACCTATTAACAAAATAAACTAAAATAAAAGGGATGGAAAGAATTATATACATGCACTAAATAGAAATAGGTCTTAAGGCCCCCAAGAAAAAAATCTATTTTTTCTTAAAATACTTGTTAGTAATAATAATAATAATATATAAAAAAAGAAATAAAAACAAACCTGTACGAAGAGGGAGGCGTGAACGGCGAAGAGGCGCGGTTGTGGGTGTTAGATCGGAAGGGCCGAAGGGTTCTTGGAAATTTTTGGATCTGTTTCTCAGAGTGTCTGTTCAGAAATCCTGAAATAAACCAAAAATAAGAGAAAGATTGAGATTGTGAAATTGTGGATGAAAAAATTATGAGGGACAATACTCCCATTTATAGAGTTAAAATTAGGTTAAAAAAACTTATTAAGAAAGTCACCCAAAAACCCAGAGAAGCCCAAAGCCTGATCTCTAAAAAAGAAAAAAGAATTAGTAATAAAAAATAGAAAAAGAAAATGTTAAAAGTGCAACACAAGAGATTCAAAACCGCGACCTCATGCTTGAAAGCTTCAATCTGTACCAACTATGCTATGTCACTCATTTGAAATAAAAACCCAATTGAAAGTATATGAAAGTGAACAAGTATTTGCTATTTAAAATACAAAAAATTTGAAATAAACTATTATACATTTTTAAATGAGAGAAATAAATTATTGTTAAAATGTTAGTAAAATTGAACCAAAGAATATTATAAAAACCAATGTTGAAAATATTTTCGACTGTAGAAATAAAGGGCGGGTAAATTTGGAGTATGACGGTTGCCCTTATTTAATCACTCTTCAATTGAAGGGTGCGAGAATACGCAGGTCTCGCACATTCGAATCAGAGGGTTATTAAATAATGAAGATCCCAAAATTTGACCCAAGGTTGGCTAGATAAGGATATTCTGTAAAACATACCCCAGAGAATGAAGAAAGATAGACAAAGATGATGATGTATCATCTTACCACAGTTAACACAAGAAGTATGAAGACACTGATAGCTTGTCAATACCTAGAAAAGTGATAGTAAATTTTTGCGTATTTACCACGCCTTAGGAGATAAATAACACAAGTTTGAAAATTGACTTACTAATGCTTCGAGACTAACATAGTAAGCTTAAAGAAGATTATTTATACTCATCGCAACCTAGGGGGTAAATAACACAGTTTTATAATCGATTATCGCATGGAGATTAACACAGTGAACTATATTGCAGATTTTCACATACCTACCACAACCTAGGGGATAGAAAATACGAGGACAAGCTTGTGCATTTATCACGACCTAAAGGATAAATGACACGAGGATAGGCTTATGTATGTATCATGACCTAGAGGATAAATAAAATAACCCTGATAATTTGCATACCTACCACAACCTAGAGGATAAATGATATGAGGATAAGCTTGTGCATTTATCACAATCTAGAAGATAAATGACACGAGGATAGGCTTATGTATTTATTACAACCTAGAGGATAAATAACTTAACCCTGATAATTCGTATACCTACCACAACCTAGAGGATAGATAATACGAGGATATGCTTGTGTATTTATCACAACCTAGAGGATAAATAACACAAACCTGATAAATTATTATCATTTAGAGACTGACACAATGAACTATATATTTTTGCATACCTACCACAACCTAAGGGGTAGATAACATGAGTATAGGCTTGTGTATTTATCACGACCTAGAGGATAAATAACACAAACTTGATAATTCACATACATACCACAACCTAGAGGATATATAATACGAGGATAATCTTGTGCATTTATCATGACCTAGAGGATAAATGATCATACTTGATCTTGCTTCACAACTTTGATCAAGAATAATATTTAGTGTTGCTTAACAACTTCCTCTAAGAACAATACTCGTCTCATTACCTAAAGGCTTTTGAGTGAGAACACAATGGCCATCTCACAACCCGAGTGGTTCACTTACACCAACTCTCCTAGAGAGTGGCTACCGACTCAACCCTAATGACTACACCTTTTCAATTCACTTCTAGTCCCAATCCTAGGCTATAAAGCTTCTATTTATAACCTATACCCAACTAGATTTGGGCCTTCAAAACACAGCACGCCAACTGTTACAAACTAGCAGTAACTTCTACTACAAACAAGGTCTTCAATCATTTGTTTCCTAAATAATCTACATATTTAGAAACAACATATTATTCAATATTTTGACTTTATTCTTCTTGACCTGTAATTCAGTGTCACATAGGATAATATAATATTCTTAAAATATATTCTGTCTTTGTTACTTGACTGAATATAATAATCAATTCAACTTAGGCGCGATGTTGAATGAACCTGCATAGGACATCTTATCCGACTTGTTGCTCCAGATGTTGAAATACTTCAACTCAACATGTCTCAACATAAGATATGAATTCTTGCTCGACCTATTCCTGTTAGCAAGTTAGCACACCCTATCTAACATTTTACTGCTATATTAGTTTTACCAAACATAATGCCGATCACATAATTCAGAGAATTAACAGTTGTCATTGTCTAACAGATAATGTGTTTCGTTATATTCCAATATACAGCTCCTATAACTATATTGAATATATGGCCACTAGTTTCTTTCGAATAATCTATAATGTGTTCTAACTGTTGTCTATTTATCCTTCAAGTACAACAATAAATCTATGATAATGTAGACCAAGATTCATGATTCTTTTAACATATCACACAACTCTCTCAATGGCTTGCCAATGCTCATTATTAGGGATACTAGTAAACCTAAACAACAGTCCTACGATATATGCAATATTAGGTCTAGTACAATTAGTTGCATATCTAAGACTGCCAATGATGCTCGCATACTCAGTTTATATAATACTATCATAAGTGTTCTTTAACAATTTTACTCTAGGATCAAATGTTGTGCAATCAGGTTTAGATTCAAGTAATTATAATATTAAATATTTTTTCCACATAGTGAGATTTATCCAAGGATATCTCCTTCTCATATGTAGTGATGTTGATTCCAAGAATCACACTGGCTTCTCCGAGGTTTTTC